AAGAGCACTGAAGAAATAATGCATAAATGTAAAATAAAAAATTTCTTGTTCTTATTTGTCCTGACAGATAACAGTTTATTTAAAATAAGAATACCAACAATGTAATGGATTATGTATATATCTTAAGTATGCTTATATAAGTGCATTGAGTGACAGCAGTGATACAAGAGGCAGGAGAGAGGAATAATAATTATTTTGGTATTAAAAGCTACTTGCACTACCCTCAAAGTGAGACAGTGTTATTTAAAATGGGTTTGGAGTAGTTGTAAATGTATATAGAAAATTCTAGAACAACCATCAAAAATTATTTTTGAATGTATAAATGATATGCTAAAAAGGAGAGAAAATCAGTAAGGACATAGTTGAGTTGAACAATGCCATCAATCAACTGGGTATAATGAACATCTATAGATTTCTTCATCAGACAACAGCAGAATACACATTCTTCTAAAGCCCACATGGAACATTCACCAAGATAGATGACCACATTCTGGGCCATAAAACACTCTTTAACAAATTTAAAAGAATAGAAATCATACAATGTCTGCTGTCAGACCACAGTGGAATTAAACTATAAATCATTAACAGAAAGATAACTAGAAAATCCCAAAATACATGGAGATTAAACAATACACTTCTAAATATCATATTGGTCAAAGAAGAAATCTTGAGAGAAATTAAAAAGTATTTTGAACTAAATGAAAGTGAATACACAACTTACCAAAATGTATGGGATGCACCAAAAACAATATGTAGAGGGAAATTTATAACTTTTAATACAAATATTAGAAAACAAGAAAGATCTAAAATCAGTCACTTTTAAACATCCATATTAGGAAACAAGAAAAAGAAGAACACAGTAAATTCAAAGTAAGCAGAAGAAAATAAATAATAAAAATTAGGACCAAAATTAATGAAACTGAAAGCAGGAAATCAACAGAGAGAATCAATAAAACCAAAGTGTGGTTCTTTGAAAAGATAAATAAAATTGATAATCCTCTAATCAGCCTAAGAAAAAAAGAGAGGGGACACACATTTCTAATATCAGAAATGAAAAAGGGGACATTACTACAGATCTAATGGATATTAAAAGGATAATAAAGGAATATGATAGACAATTCCACGCCCACAAGTTTGATAACCTAGATTAAATGGATCAACTCCTTGAAAGACACAATCTGATGAAACTCACACAAGATAAACAGAAAATCTGAATTGGTCTATATTTACTAAAGCAATGGAATCAGTAATTAATAATCTTGCAAAACACAAAGCACTAGGCCCAGGTGGTTTTACTGGTGAATTCTAAACATTTAAGAGAGAAATTATGACAATTTTCCACATTATTGTTCAGAAGACAGAAAAGGAGGGAATATTTCCTAATTCATTTTATGAGGCTAGTATCACCCTAATACCCAAATCGGATAAAGACATTATAAGTAAAGTGAAGTAAATATCAATAGCTCTCATAAAAAATGTAAAATTCTCAACAAAATATTAATAAACTGAATCCAACCATGTATAAAAAAATTATACACTATGACCAATATCAGAATTTATCCTAGAATGCAAGGCTGATCCAACATTTAAAAGTCAATTATTATTATCCATCACATTAGCAAGCAAGAGAAGAAAAAATATGATCATATCGATAAAGAAAGAAAAAGCCTTTGACAAAATCTAATACTCATTTATAATAAAAACCCCCAGTCAACTAAGAATAGAGGGTAATTTCCTCAAGTTGGTAAAAAAAATCTACAAAAACCCTACAGCTAACATATTACACTTAATTACATGAAATTAGAAGCTTTGCCACTAAGATCAGGAACAAGGAAATGATGTCCCCTCTCACCAGTATTTTCTAACATTATACTGGAAATCCTAGCTAAGGCAATAAGACAGGAAAATAAATAAAAGTCTGATTGAAAAAAAAAAGAATAAAACTATTTGTTCACAGATGATATAACTGTCTATGTAGAAAATCCAAAAAAATCAACAACAATAACAATACAAATTCCTTGGACTAATACATAATTATAGCAATGTTGCAAGAGACAAGGTTAATATATAAAAATTGATCACTTTTCTATACACTAGCAATAAACTAGTGGAATGTGAATTAAAAACGCAATACCATTTATATCAACACTGCCAAAAATGAAGTACTTAGGTATAAATTTAACAAAATATGTACATGATCTATATAAGGAAAACTACAAAACTCTGTTGAAAGCAATCAAATGATAACTAAATAAATACAGAGCTATTCCATGTTCATGAATAAGAAGACTCAATATCGTGAAGATGTAAGTTCTCATTAAGTTGATCTATAGATTCAATGCAATCACAATCAAAATCCCAGCAAGTTGTTTTGTAGATATTGACAAACTGATTCTAAAGTTTATATGGAGAGGCAAAATACTCAGAATAGTCAACACAATGTTGAGGAACAAAATGGAAAGATTAACCCTACCCAACGTTAAGACCTATTATAAATCTACGGTGATCAAGCCCATGTGGTATTGGTGACAGAACAGGCAAATAGATCAATGGAACAGACTGGAGAACTCTAAAATAAGCTCACATACACACATGTTGTCAATTGATTTTTGACAAAGGAACAAAGGCAGTATAATAGAGCAAAGATAGTCTTTTCAACATATGGTGCTGGTACAACTAGGCATCCATATATAAAAAAATAAATAAAGGCATAGACCTTAGATCCTTCAAAACAGTGATCTCAAAATGGATCACAGATTTATATATAAAAGAAGATAGCATGGGAGAAAAACCCTGTGATGCTGAGTATGGCAATGACATTTCAGATATACCACCAAACGTACTGTTTATGAAAGAAAGAGAAAACTTAGCCAGGCATAGTGGCACATGCATGTAGTCCTAGCTATCTGAGGGGCTGAGGCAGGAGGATCACCTGAGCCCAGGAGTTTGAGGTTGCTGTGAGCTATGATTATGCTACTGTACTCTAGCCAGGGTTACAGAGTAAGACTCTGTCTCTAAGGGAAAGAAAGAAAAAAAAGAAAGAAAAGAAAAGTAAAAGAAAGAAAGAAGAGAAACGAAAAGAAAACAAACAAAAAAAATAAAGAAAAGGAAAGAAAAAGATTGATAAGCTGGACTTCATTAATATTTAAAACTTGGGCTCAGTAAAGGGCACTGTTGAGAAAATGAAAAGAGAAGACACAGACTTTAAGAAAATATTTGAATAAGACATATCTGATAATGGATTATTAGACTACATAATTATATGTTATCAAAAAATATACAAAGAATTCTTAAAACTCAACAGTAAGTAAAGGTACAACCTAATTTAAAAATGGGCAAAATACTTTAATAGACAACACACTAATGATTGTATACAGTTGACAAATAAACATATGAAAAAATGCTCTATATGTCATCAGGGAAATGCAAATTTAAATAACAATGAGACACCACTACACACCTATTAGAATGGCAAAAATCTAGAACATGACATTACCAAATGCTGGCAAGGATATGCAGCAACAAGGACTCTCATTCATTGCTGGTGGAAATGCAAAATGGTCCAACAAGTTTGGAAGATAGCTTGGTGGTTTCTTTCAAACCCAAACATATTACCATAAGATCCAGCAATTATGCTTTTGGTTCTTATCCAAAGTAGTTGAAAACTTACACCTACATAAAAACCTGCACATGGGTGTTTATAGCAAATTTACTCATTTTTGCCAAAGCTTAGAAGCAACCAAAATGTCCCTCCATGTGTTAACGGATAAATAAAGTGATACATACAGACAATGGAATATTATTATTCATCACTGAAAAGAAATGAGCTATCAAGCCATGAAAAGGCAAGAAGGAAACTTAAATGCATATTACTAAGTGAAAGTGTCAATCTGAAAAGGCCATATACTGTATGAAGCCAACTTAATGATATTCTGGAAAAGGCAAAACTATGGAGACAGTATCAGTAGTTGCCAGTAGTTGGGGAGAGGGAGGAATGAATAGGTGGAGCACAGCAGATTTTTAGGGCAATGAAAGTATTCTCTTTGATACTATAATGGCAAATAAATATCACCATACATTTTCCCAAAGTTTATGGAATGTGCAACACCAGGAGTGAACCCTAATGTAAACTATGGACTCTGGGTGATAACGATGTGTCCATGCGGGTTGTTCTATTAAACAAATGAACCACTCTAATGAGGAAGTGGACAGTGGGGAGGCTGTGTACGTGCAGGGGTAGGGGATACATGGGAAATCTCTACGCCTTCTTCTCAATTTTGATGTGAACCTAACACTACTCTAAAAAATTAGAAAAAAAAACAGTAATAAAGAAGAACATTAAGGATATTAAATAAATTGAGGAACTCTCAGCCTAATTGCTCCCAGCTTCTATCACACAATTGTGATCATTCTTCATACAGGTGGCACCGTCATCGGTTGCTGGGAGTAGGAAATTATGCAGAAGGTACAGAGTTTGGTCCCTTTCGTTCCTTTCATTGAGGCATGGCAACTTCGTACCTTGCCCAGGAAGGATGCTAGCATTCATAGAACACCTAGTAGGTATCGATAAGGATACTTTACTAGTGTTTTCCCATTTAATTTTTACAACCCTATATTTAGATACCTAGTTCCCATTTGACAGATGGGGTCACTTAATCTCAGAGATGATAAATAATTCCCTTGATATTATATAACTAGTGAGTGGAAAGGCCCAGATTAAGACAAAATGGAGCAAATGAAAATATAGAAATATTGGTTAGAGAAGCAAGAACACGCAGGTTTGTATAGTTTCTCAAAGTATTCTTTCTTCCTTAGGATTATTTAAATGTCCCCTATTAAAGTGATTAGCTTAGCGTGGGGAGGTGTGTTTTATTCAATTGTGGGTTCTCAGCTTTATTAAGTACCTCCTATTGCCTGTATCCCCTGTGCCCCAACATCTACATAGAAGCTAGAGCACAGGAGCGTTCAGTATAGATCTATATAATTTGAAAGGGCCGAACCTTGGTGCTATTGCCAAACCACCAGAAATACGTAAGGGTCCCCAGCTGACTGGGCCACACGACTGCACTGATGTTGACCTCCTTATTTCTTATGGCGACAAAGGGAACTCGGAGATGAACATGCTCCACGGGACCTATGGGAACAGAAACACAATGTCAGTTTTTACATTCCTGGGATAAATGGTCAAACTTTATATCACACCCTTATTTCTTAATCTCAATCCTTATTACCATCCCCTGTGAAAAAGGAAGGATCACAAATTCACAAATGTTGGGAGGCATGTGTGTGCTTGAAATGAAGCACTGGGTTTACTAGGGAACTCAAATCAGGTTTCAGATTTTTTTTTTTTTGAGTGACATCTGAACTTAATTTACATCCGATAAGCCTAACCAGTAATGCTTATGAATCTCTAACCCAAGGACAAAGCTAGTTTACTAGACATTTAGCCAGTAAATGGGAAGATAAACAGCAGTCTATTTTGTTTCTGATTATTAGCCTGTATTGTGATTTGGGGTCAGTGCATTATGTGGAGGGCTCTTCCATTATCCTCAACTGTTAATTGGTTTCCATCCCCTTCAACAATTGGCCACTGTGCCTTTCACTGCAGTACACAGTGGGTGTCATTCAGAGCTGGCGAGGCCATTTTACAAAAAGGGAAGGGCATATCTCCCTGAATTGAAGGAGAAACAAATACCAGGTTCCCAAACAATAACAAAGCCACTTGCAAAAAGGTGACCAAGCTTCTGCTTTTTAATCTCAGAAAACTGGTATAAGCAGCATCACATTCTAAACTTGCAAGTAAAAGAATATACGTGAACACGCCCTAGGCATAATAAGTGAGGGTTTTAATTTAATGCATTTCCAAAATAAAATGAGAAAAGGGAAATTCTGATGAAAAAGTGTTAACAGATCAGTGTTGCACTGGGGTATAGATAGTTTATTATTATTTTTTTAATTCTGTAGGATTCTTTGCCCCACCCTACCCCTTCCTTTTTTCTACCCTTCTTCCCTTCCTTTCCTTTTCCTCTTCCTTCCTTTCTTCCTCCCTCCTTCTTTCCCTTTCTTAATCCTTCCTACATAACCAAAAGCAAATAAAATATTTTGATTGTTTCTTTTCACACTATGTTAAAGCACATTTTTCCACTTTCACCATAATGAATTTGACGAGTACAACTGGCTAAAGAGACCTCTATATGAAGGACTTAAGCTACAAATGTGTCCAGGGCATGTCTTTAGCCTGGGAGCCTTCAATTCTGCTTATATGTGGGGCATTTTTCAGGTCATCCAGACTTCATTATTTTCATCCCTGGTAATTTTGGAGACAGCTCAGTTTAAAGGGAAGAAAACAGATGGATGTTTCTTATTTCAACTCTGGCACAAATTTACCTGCTTGATCTTTTCCTCTATTTTACAGAGTCTTGTTTGTACACAGACTCTTGATCTGTCTTAAAAATAAAGGAGAACACGTGCCCTGCCTTCCTTATAGTAATGAGAACATATGAAAGTGCTGTATGGTTGTTAAAAGCACTGTATAATTAATTATAGGTTGGCGTTATTTCTACCACTATCCCCAACCCTCTAGCACTGTCTCTATCATTGGGCAGAAGCCCCTCTGAGCACAGTGTGCATTCTCCTGGTCTCACTGGGCATGTTCTATGTCACAGGTAATTTTACATTGAAGGAGAAAATGTTTAGACAGGGACTGTTATTTGGGTGGGGAGACCAGCCAGGACAGATTGCATTTTCTCGAACAGCTATTTAATATAGGTGTTTAAGAATCTTTGTGTCTAAAGCCTAAAAATGCCCCCTGCCTAAAGCTCTCTGCCCTAACCCCTGATATAACCCCACCTCAAGATTTCTTCCAGAAAATAATTTCAACCTTATTACTTCAGATGTACATTTGGCTAAAGGTTTGTTTTAAAAATGGAAATGTGCATTATTACTTTTGTATGATTTGTTGAGAAGAATAAAAAATAACGTGTCAGAAAATAATGGCTGTTTCCATTGCTTTCTTTACACATTTTTAGGAGCTTAACTAATCTATGTGCCTTTATTGTCTGTGTTTTGCTGATCAAGGGGGGAGAGAAAGAGGCCATGGGAAGGAGTCCCTGGCTGGTCCATGTCCTAGGAGGAAGATGAGAAACCTTGTTTCTTACACAGACACCTCAGACTCTTTCTCCATGTCCAGATTCAGCTCTCTCATTCTTCCCCAGCTAGGAAAGGGGCGCCTTTCCCCCTCAAAGCCATTGCTTTCATTCTTACCACTATCCCATAAAAAGCACAAAGCCCATTCCCCTAGCCACCTCATGGGAACGCTGGGCTCTTCCACCATTAAGCATTGATGCAGCCACTGCTTGTGGCCCTGGAAATTCTTCTGAGCTTTCTGTCACTCAGGGGCCTTGGCTCAGCCAGAGCTGACATTGGCGGCTGCTCGGATGCCCATGAAGTTAAAACAAAGAACTCCTTCTCCATAAACTCATGCAAAACATAAGAGGATGGGGCTTTCATGAATTGAAACGGCATCATACATGGTCACATTTATACCAGCTTCAGGTCAGGCATGTTTCGTTAAAAATAATCTTCAGAAACACCACCTTGTAACAGCTTTTTAGGGCAAAGATCCTGGGCCAGCAGCCTCGGGCTTCAGTATGGGGACAAACCAAGCATTGGCGAGAAGAGAAGAAAAGCAAAGGAATTCAGGAGGGAGCACAACAAGCTCCTAAAATCCTCCCTGTCAAATAGTGCCCCTTTTGATAAAAGTCTAATAATCTGTGCGAGATTGGTTATTATGGGCAGCTAACAACTACTTTTGTTAGCTAATGGCCCAAGGTAAGGCCAAGAGCAGTTTCCACTATAATAACTGTCTGGTAAATGCAGCCATGATTGATTTGCAGGGAATTATGAGCATGATAAAAGTTTCAAGGAACATTTCCTCTTTCATGCACATAACCCACAGTATAAACCTGTTCCTTGCTGTTGTGTTTTTTTTTTTGTTTGTTTGTTTTTGCCACTAAGATACATCAGTCTTCACACCCTGAAGGCAAGACCCACTCTTGGCAGAATCAGAAATATGGGTGGGTCAGGCACTTGGAATAGAGAAATATAAAGTTCATTTCTTTCTTTGTCTTTATTTTTAAATGTGGCAAAAGCGTCAGGCAGAAAGTTAATAAGGAAGTACGTAGTAATTACTATAATTACAGGTAACATTCATCATGTGCCAAGCTGGGTGCTAAGCAGCATTCTCATGCTGTGCAGAAAAATAACATAGACCTGAAATTGCTATCCTTAGGGAGGACTGCATGCAAGTATGGTATCTGGGAACTTGGCTCTGAGAGTGCTCCCAGTCAACAGTTAACTGGTAAGTGTGCATCACTCTGCCTCCACTATTTTTACAAACAGTGTGGTTTATTCTGAACACGTACTTTCCACTGGGAATTTGGTATATGCCAGGCAGAGGGTGCCTACCACACAAGTTATAGCATGGCCTATGTGAATCAACGGGGAGAGAACTCTTGGAAGCTTGTGCCTGGTTTCCTCTGGACTTTGCCCTCTGAGCCTTTTCCTTCTGCTGAGTTTGCTCTGTATCCTTTCACTGTAGTAAATCACAGTGATGAGTGAAACTGTGTGCTGAGCCCTGTGAGTCTGCCTTGTGCATCACCAAACCTCGTGTTGGTCTTGGGGACATCCAATACACACACATGCACACACACAGGCATACCCCCACACACACACGCGTACACACACACGCACACACATATTATCCAATTTGACTCTCACAGCCTCCCTATTAGCTAAGTATTAAAGATGAGGAATTGGAGCTTTATAAAGGCTAAGAAAGTTGAACAATATGAGACATCTAATGAAGAAACATTATAATACAAAGCAGGTCTCCCTTGCCCTACAGCCCAGGCTCATGGACACCTTGCATACCACCCACCTGGGCTTCTGCTCTGGCACAGAATAATTATAGTTCATGTGTTGTTGTTATTACAACTTTGCCTATTTATGGTCCATTTTCAGCAGCACCTTCCCTTCCCCACCAGAAGGTAGACTCAGAAAGGGCAGGACCATACCTGTGTTGTTGCCTCCTCAGAGGCTGGCAGAGTGCCTTGCACATATTAAGACCTCTACAAATATTTGTTGGATAAATCAGTGAATGACTGGGTGTTTTATGTGTGCTTCCTATTTATTATTACAAAAGCACTATGAGACAAAGGAACAGTCAGAATTAAACCATTTTAAAATTGGAGTTCGGAAGACCCAGAGAAGAAATAATTTATATCATGGTCACATAGACTGGCATTTTTATGGGCATACTTGATCTATAATCCAGGTCTCCTCCCTGACACTTCCCTTATCACTGTTGGTCCCTGTACTTGTACTGTGACTGCAGAGCTAGGAGACTGGCTAGCTTAGTGTTTGCCAGGAACCTCTTGGGTGCAGGATGTTTACAAAGGAGTTTATGCTATCCTTGAATCATTAATATAAAAAGTGCTCCTTGTATTGACTTAGACTTCTTCAGAACTTATGATTTTCACTATATGTACATATTACCTGAAAACCATTGTGGGGTATATAAGTAAGAACCACATATGTCCTTAGACCCAGGAGTATCACTAACAAAGGTGTGGAAAACGAATACCAGCTCCACAACAACACTTCCTTGACCCAACATCTTAAAACCACAACATTTAAGTTTCAGTTACATGAGCCAAATCCCAGGATAGATAATACAGAAAATACATCCAGCACAAACAAACTATTTTGGAACTTTGTTGTTTTAGTTTGTGCTAAGCAACAGCTAATGGCAATGAAAGACTCTAGGACAACAAAAAAAATTTGGAGCATTCCTAGAATTGTTAAAACAGAATGAACTTGCAGTAACCTTGTATGTAAGAATTAATTTTTTGTGTGTTAGTTCTATGTTAAAAAAAATTCTAAATGTATTTTGTTATCCTTCTTTGGCTCATCCAACAGAGATAAAAAGTTTACTTTGATTTGTGCTGCCTTCACTCATAACAGATTGAAAATCACCCTGAGACCACTGACCAGATGGGTTTCCACTTTTTATATTTTCAAGATTTTCCCAAATAAAGGGAAGAGACTTTTACCTGCATGCATGCACATGTGCATATTTACATCGGGACAGGGTGGTGTAGAGGGGCTGGCTGGTAATGTGTTATCCAAACTTTCAAAACAATCCATCTATTTCAGTATCATAAAACTTTGAAACACAGATTTGAGTACACATCTCAATCATTGATTTGGGTCATTGCAGTAGACACACTGAACCTTGTCCTCAGCTCTGAATTCCAGGAGGTCTAAACAGAGGCAGTTACCAACTGGGAGGAAAGGAAGAAGGAGTGTAGCTCATGCTACTTACAAACCACATGCAGGAAGAGGACAGCTGTGTCTGAGCCAAGGCTGTTCTCTGCATAGGCTGTCACCTGGAAGATCCCCGCATTCTTATACACGTGCTTGATGCCGTCCTCGATGGGGCTGAAGGTAGCATAGGACACGGCAACCCCATCCCCAAAGTCAAGCTGGATGTTTGTCCTTTGGAGATCACCCTGCAAGAGGGAATATCATTTGGGGCGATTCACCTGGTCCCTCCTGACTCCTATCTGATGCTTCCTCCTATGGCTTCAGCATCACCCCCTGAGGACCTACAGTCTTTCCCAGGGGGCTCCAACACAATCATCAAACTCTGATCTGATACCTGCTGGGCACTATAGACCTATTGTTCCTGTATGCCCAAGCTCAGGGCAACCTGAGTTGCTTGCATACTGGCAATAGTGGGTAAGATAGAGATTCTATAAAGCCCTGAAGTGGGTAAGCCAAGGGCTTCCCTGACTTACTCACATACATGGTTTACCTCTTCTTCTGTGTCATAATAACAGGAAAAATAGTGACAGCTAATATGTACAGAGTTTTTAAAATTAGTACCATGCAAATAATCTCTTCCCAACTCCATATTGTAGAAAGTATTACTGTCCACATTTGTAAAATAGGGGCACAAATAAATTATTAATAAGCAGTCAGACCAAAATCTCATAGTGAGTAGTGGAAAACCAAGTTTTGGACCCAAGTTTCAATACTAATGCTTTAACCACAATGCCATAGCTATAATTGTTACTATTTTTAAGTATTTATTATGCTCTAATAGCTGTGCTAATCATTCAACACATATTATATGATGCTACCTTCAAAATAACAATGTGAAATAGGATGATTATTCTCATGTTATGGATGAATGCTGCATACTATCCAAAATTATATCTCTATTCTCTTGTCTGCCCTTGGACTTCCCTAAGCCTAACTAAGCCCCATCTTCTCTGAAGCCTCTTCTGATCATCCCAGCTCATAGGTATCTCTGCCTGTTAGAAGGGCAAGAGCTCTCTGTGTGCTGCCTGATGACATGATGTCAGTGGTTCAGGTGAGCACATCTTACCCTCCCAAACCAACTTAGCTTCTTAAAGGCCGATGCTAAACCTCATCCTTTCTGCTGCCCCAACCACCCAATTTACTGGGCTGACACTTTGGATAAATACAATGAATCTGACTCCAGACTAAAGATCCTGCATGAAGAAGAATAGGATCGCTGTGTTCATAAACAAAGGAGGATGAAATAAAGAGGGAAATACATCATTTTGGAATTATGAGCCAATCCTTCTGCCCAGTGAACGTGCATCGATCACAGTTTCACTTTCCACCTCTTCCCCCATGGCAGCCCAGATGTGAATGAAATATTGATAGGTGCTCTCTTGCCCCCACACAATGCCAACTATCCTTGAGTTTATGAATATAAATTAAAGTGGAAATGAACTGGAGGCAATTCAAATGGATAAGATCATGGCTCTTCACATCCATTCAAGAGAAGGCTTTTATAGCTCTGGTCCTGGAAACTCCCTAGTGGAAATGTGATAATGACCTCCTCTGAATCTTAAAGTCCTTTAATTCAAGCACCTGGTGTGTGTGAAGGCTGAGACATCTGTCAACCCAGGATAAGGAACCTTCACCATCCTGTCCAGTGTGGTCCTGACTTTAAAGGTTTCTGAAGTGCTCATACTTGTTTAAAAAAAAAGAGAGAGAAAAAAAGACAAAAGGACTCCTGGCCTGCTTCACTCTCTTTCCAAGATCTCAAGTGCACAGAGCAATATGCATATAAATTTAGAAGGCTTTGTCAGGCAAGCCTTCTTGCTCTACCACCTCAGCAAGGAGTGCCTGAAACACCCCTGGTTTGGAAAGAAATTCAACAGTTCATACAGGGAACAAGAAGCAGACAACAGAGCTATTTCTGTCTTGGAATGAATGCATGCAGTCTGATTTTACTGCCCAGATTGCAGGAGACACTAAAAAGTGAACTAATGGAGCATCTAGCTGATGGAAAGGCAACTAATGACATTCTTTATAAAGATAAGTTTAAAGGATTTCAATAATCTCCCCCAACCTCAAACTCATACTTTCAAGACCCTTTAATAGCTTTGTGGGCTTTTCTGATCAGTGGGATTAAGGGTTAGAAAAAAGCAAACAAGGCTCCTAAAGGCAACAGATAAAATTTGAATATCCTTCTTCTGGCAAAGTTTACAGTTTACAGGCTTAGGGTAATAAACATTCCCTCAGCAAAGCAGACTCTAAAGGGGAACCCTGAAGAGTATATTCAGATGTGCATGTTCAGTATATGTGCATGCTCAGTATATCCAGAAGCACGTGGGCCCCCACTGCAGACCGGGTCTTGATTGTGGGATGGAGGGAGGGGAGCCTGTAAATACCGCAGCCCCCTTCCACCCCTGTCTGTCTTCTCCCCCAGCATCTCGGCTTCTTGCCATGTACCGTGGTTCAGGGGCTTGTGGGGATATGGGTTTTTTTTTTCTTTCCTTTCTGGGAAGAGGCATTGGCCTGCTTGTGAGTTCTGACCTCAGAGACCCAGGTGGGCACCTACCTCCTCCATGAGGATGATGAAGGTTGCATTATGCCCCTGCTCTGCCACCAGGCGCCCATCGGTCGTCACCACGTGGAGGCCCCGCGGGGCTTTGCCGGGGCACACCTGGGCCTTGGCGGTGTACTTCTCCCGCAGCCCGTCCGTGCAGTTGTTGGACACAATCCGGCGGTACCTAAGGAGAATTGACAACTGAAGGTGGTGTGGTTTGTGTTGAGTGGACTGAGTGTGTGTGTGTGTACGTTAGAAAGAGAATGCGGGAGCAAGGCAGGTAATTCACACAGCTGCACCTAAAAGCTGAGTCTCAAAGCAGACAGCCATTTGCGAAGCTGAGCAAATGCTGAGCAACTGCTATCCCTCCATCTCAGGGAGAGTAGCTCCTTAAACATTATTATTGATCCTACCTGGTGAGCCACAGATCGGATCAGTGTCTAAGCCAGCCAAGAAAAATCAATATCTGACTCTCACACAACAAAAGAGGAGGCAGACACACTGAACTAGGAAAATGGGAAAAGCAGGTGTTTCTACCTGTGAGGGAGGGGCCTGTTTCTATGTCCCTGAGGCTTCTCCAGGTTTCTCTATACCAGAAGGCAGCCAGGAAATAAGACTTCTAACCCTGAATAATCAGGCCTCTTTCTGTCTTCCCTCCACCTCCAGGACATCATTCCTTTCCCTAATGCCTAATAGCCCTTACTCTGGAGCCACAGGGCTATTTTATAGCACATTTTTTTCTCCTTGCTAATATTTTACTTCCCGCTCAATGCAAATGCCAAATAAGAAGCACAAGGTTGAAAGTCCTATTCAATCCCACTAAGTAAAATCACTTGATACAGTAGGTCAGCATAGGAAAACTGCTCGACAAAGCACTGTGACCTTCTGTGACAGGACATCATCGTGTAAAATGATGTCATGTCATCTACTTTGCTCACCAACCCAAGCAGGTAAATTCAAGCCAAGAGTCTGCCTCTAACACTGACCTGTAGAATGCATAATGGACATTACCATCTGTAAGGCTGTACTAAAATCAATGTTCTAGTAAATCCACATACAATGAATGAGCCACCGCTACTATCATCACCATCAACATGATCATATCTTGTCTTCATTCACCCTCTATGTCAAGAGTAATTAACCAGTCCGTTTATGTTGTCTTCTTCTGGTGGTCTCAAAAGCAGAGAAATTTGAATGCTTCTTGAGTGAAATTAGTCTGCCATTATACCTGACACTTCCCTGGGTCCCCGGACTGCTGAACAACCTACCCTACACCTCCACCCAGAGATCCCAGGTGGATGTTAAGCAAATGTTGTATGTAGTTGTTGCCTCAGATGAAATTATGATCTATCCTCTTGCAGCTATACAATATTTTAACTATTGAGCTCATAATAGATCTACAGTGGTGCTGTCCAATATGGTAGCCACTTGTTCATATGGTAGCCAGTATAGGAGCTCCACTTTTGGCTACTGAGAACTTGAAATGTAGTAAATTTGACATGATAAATGGTTATAATTTTGAATATATTGGGTTAAATAGGATTTATTATTGAAATTAATGTTATCTTATTTTTTTACATTTTTAATGTGACTACTGAAAAATTCAAAATTACATATGTAGCTATTTTATAGTTCATTTGGTCATCACTGGTCTAGATAATCAAGCATTTGTAATCAATTTTTTCTTTCTCACTGACCTTTAGTCATGAGAGTGTTTTTACTGATGATAGCTAATTTTGGTGTGTACCATGTCCTAATGCAAACTTGATATCATCCGCTCTTCTTCTTCAACCTCAATCGACCTATGTTACTACTCATCAACTCAGTCTGGTTGATGGTTTGTAATATAAGCCAACATTTAAGCAAGCTGTAGGAATTGGTAGACATCTGTAGTGTAGCCTTTGGAAACAGCCAATGAATAGCCTTTCCTTTTCATCTTCCTGACTTATTCTGTTGGTTATTTGAGGTTTTGGTATGCCTAAGTTGTTTAAGATCGGATACATACCACATGAGACATCCTAACTCAATTCCTTTCCAATTATATCCCGGGTGTTCTCTGGCTGGGAATCTGGTGGCCCAGCTGATCACTTGTGCCCATTATGTTCCCCTTCCTCAAGCTTCCTGGCACTTTGTTCTCTGACACCACATCTTTTTAAGTTCATGCTTCTGGATCTGCCATTTGAATGACTGAAATCCCTGAACCAGACTCCTACAATAACATAACATCAAAAATTCTTAAGTCCCCGCTCAGGGGCCAGAAATAGCCCTCCAAAAACCAAATATTTGGCTTAAAAAAACTCATGTTTTTCAGATTAGCTCAGACCACTCAACACTCCTTTTCCATCCTGGCTTCCACCCTCTGCTTCCCTTGGGTAGATGGTACATACCACTATGTTGCAACCAGGTAAGATAAAAGTACCAAGAAGGTGAAAATCTTGCTTCAGATGACAGAAAACCCACTGGAAGAGTTAAGATAGGCATCCAGAAAAACTTAGCCCCTCACTACTCAAAGAGTGGTCTAGGGACCAGCAATTTTGACATCATGTAGGAGCTCATTAGAAATGAAGAGTTTCAACCAGATTTCCCAAATCAGAAGCTGATCTTGTCTTAACAAGATCCCCAGGTGATACATCAGCACATTGGAATTTAAGAAGTGCTGTCTTAGACCACCCATCCACCTGCCAAAGCTGTTCTGGGTCGTAGAGGCAGCACAGGAAAGGGAAAGACAATGCATCTCCAAGGAAACTTCATCCGAGCCTCGAGCCTCGGAGAGAGGAACTAATCCATGAACAAAGAGAGAAACACACACATAATTTAAGAATTACTGAAAATGTGCCTTGACCTTTTCATTTGAGGAGTTTCTCGGATGGAACTTTTAAATTTTCATTTTAAGTTCTCAGCACCAGTGTATGTATGAGAGCTCCAGTTTGTCTGTCACTAGAGAGCACTGTAATATCTGCATATCACTTGCATTAATTTATTTCACTTGAGGCCCAAGAAATAAGGCTACCTCTATTTCCAGAATAGAAGGTCTAAAATAAAAAAACAGGGGTAAATGGAAAAGGTATCAAAATCTGAGTGATGAGAAATCTCTTCTGATGCTCCCAAAAAACATACTCAGCTGAAGAACTCCTCAGTTTCACCCAAAAGCCATTTGTCATAAACACACTCTATCTACACTCCACCTTCGTCCATAGCAATGCATTGCCTTCTATCCTAACTTAGGGAATCAGAAAAACAGTGAGTTGAGTTCCTTTAGTTGTTTTACTTACCCAGTGCTGTTAAGGTAGCTTTGACCAAGGCTGCAGTCTTTTGATAGGGATGCTGGATTGTACCAGAAAGCGGGGACACACTGGCTCTCCCCATGTCTCTCATAGCCATAGTCACTGCCAGGAAAGTGAAGATCACATAATGGCACATATGCACAAATGCTAAGGTATCCACAGACACATGCAAACATACACACATAACCCTATGGCCATCCACAACCGTACAACCCATCGTTTTAAATATCCCTAACGAGGGCAAATATTCACATGTTGAGAATGGGCTTCTAGATTTAGAAATAATCCCAAGTCATTTGGAGTCCAATCAAAAGAAAAAGAAATAGTGGATTAGAAAATCGAAATTCTAGGTTTAAAAAGGTATTGATATAAATAATGTAGTGGGTACACTGGCTTGGTAGTACCAGTGTGGAGGAGGCAATAAATTTAAAAGCACATTTGGGTCACAGTAGAATAAGGAGGTGACAACCAAGAGGATGATTTTAAAGGTCAAGATAAATTTCTGTACAATGATTCAATATATTTTGCTCAAAAACTGACTTCATAGATTCTATTTTTATTTTTCTTGCAAACTCACGCTCTCAAAGATACACACACACATACACACACTTGCGCATACACATACAGCCATTCAAGCTTTTCCTGACTAAAACCCAGGCTACTATTTTCCTAAAAATAAAATAAAGTGACACTGCAACTCTTTTCCGTGTTTTTATTTTTTATTTTTATTTTTTTGTAAAATCCCAACCGTAATAAAATGAAGAAAGAAAGTCAGGTATGATTTCCTTCTGCTTTCCTTCCCATGGCAAAACGAGGAAGTAACAGACCAGTGTAGGAGAGGAGGCTCCCATCTGAAGTCCAAAGTGTATCCTTACTTCTCAGAGTTTCTAAGGCTCTCAGGTGTGTAAATGTTGGAGCAGAAGAGCAATGAAGTAGCCAACAGTGATTACTGCCCTTTCACCCACCAGAGGTCATTGAGGGTGACTTCAGTTGGCCGAAGAATTCATGCTTCTAAGTTAAGCATCCGAAAGTTTCCTAAAACCCACAGAGTGGGCAGAATAACGTGCACGTTTGAATGTTAATCCACTGAGTGTTAGTGAAACATAAAGCAGCAAGGGAAGTCTCTTTCTCAGTACCCACCCATCCTTTCCTTTTCACTTCCATATTCTTTGAGTCAAGATTTTGTGAAAGTCCAGTGAAAACGGAGGCAAATTATGTGTATGTGTATCTAGGATAGGCATGAATTAGGGGTAGGAATATATATTTAATTCCATGTTTATTTATCACTCAATATGTGTCTTGGTCTGTAAAAGAAGAATGGCAATCCCTGTCCTTACGGGGCTTTCAGTCTTTGGAGGAGAGAGAGAGACAACATACCCAAACCCAGTGAAATAACAGAATGACATATTATGCCACAGAGCACTAAACAGTACAGTAAAGTAAGAATATAGACATTAGTGATTAGTGAGAATATAGACATTATGTTCCCAGTTTGGCCCCTCCTCAACTTCTCCCCCATCTTACTCCACTAAACCCTTAGCTGCACAGACCTAACCAACCCTCTCACCCTCTTTATCTTCTTATATGTTATTCCCTGGGCTTGAAGCACTCCACCTTTGTCAATATCTGATGGTTTCCTACTTATTATTATCTAGGTCATATGACAGCCATCCCTGGTTCCCCAGACAAAATCTTTGGGGCCAAAACATGTCAGAAACTGTAAATGTAAGCTAAAGAAGAGCAGAGATCTTTGTTGTTGCTGTTTTTCAATATAGAGTCCAGAACAGGACCTAGGACATTGCAGGGGTTTAATAAATATTCATTGACTGAGTATTCCAATTACATTAACAAACAATTGAACTCATTATCCCATTGCCCTATGTCTATCTCTGCAGGAAGACTGGGCTCCCACAACTGATGTCCCAGTGTGATCCACAGGGAGTGTCCCCAGGTGCTCAACAGACACCTGAGGAGTGTGACTGGAGTCCTGTATCACCACCTAGAAAGGTGGAACCCAAGATCTGCTTCATATGGCCGTGTTTAAACAAAACTGGAAGAGAGGAAGCAGAAAGAAACATTTCTGCCAAGAAAATCTTTTGCCCAGCCTTCTGATCAACTACTGGACATCTCCCAGCCTGACAGTTCCTATGGACTAAGTAAGTGTTGTGCCAGCTTGTAACAGCCCATGAGAGCTGACTGTTAAGATTTCAGAAGTTTCTCAATCTTAATTAAAGGCTGTTAAGCAAAGTCACTATTAAAATTAAATTATATAAAATTTCAATTATATAAATTATATTAAAATGTAATAAATTCTAAAAACACATAAATCCTTAATAATTTTATTATGATATGTAATATATGTTATATATAACATATACTATATACAATACTTATATGTAAATATTATTTCATTATTATATTATCTATGCTTTTAAGGTTTTGTGTCTCCATGTATGTGTATGGTGGGAATATTATATAATGTTGTGCCACTATCTATCGATATTTCTTCCCAGTTCTACATTTCACCAATGTCATGTTTGTAGCTTGAAATCTGCCAGGGTGGGGCTATGTACAGCAATCAGCAAATATTACTAATCAAGGCTTATTTATTATTTATTCCAAAGAGCTGGTAGTTAAATATTTACCAGCACACCTCTGAATATCTTCCTTCTAAGCATTATTTATCTTCAAAAACATTGGGCTGTGTTATGTCTGCACTAACTCTGGAAAATCCCCTCATTGCTTTATTGCTTTATGAGGTGAATCCCATTGAGTGGCCTGCTAAGCCTAGGAAATATTGGTAATCTATGTAGGAATGGTGCTCTCTTAGGCAGCTTTAGGAATGAGAGAATTGTCTTAATGTGCTTTGCTAAATGTAACCATATCCAGTAGTTCTGTTCAGCTCTGCTCCCTGTTAGTGATGCAGTAATTTCAAAAGGTGCATCAGGCATGTGGCTTTGCCCCAAAGAGTAAAAGTACCTCGTTAATATTTAACAACATTAACAGAAACTGGCTGCCCCCAAGCTGTGGACTTCTTCATTAATTTCTGCTAAATGTATATTAAAATCTATCCCAACCTCCCTCCTAGCTCTGGAGTCTGCATGATTTAGACAAACAAGCAACTCCAGCTGCTGCTCCAGCTTCCTGGAGAAAGGTGTTTTGCTGTTGAATTGTGAGGTTTGGCACCAGAAAGTTTGATTTGCCTCAGGGAAGTATGCTGCCACAGATTCTGCAAACACATAAGCAGTTTCCTTCCAGAAATAAGTCACCTCTGTGTCTTTCTTGACTATAAAAGCTTTAGAACTTCTAAAAGTTTAGGGGAAAACTTATTTTCAGAAACCCGTATGTCTTCCAAATCCCATCCAGGGAAAAGCCTTAGATTCTAAAGGAAGAATAGACAAGATAGTTCAGAAATCAAAAAGCCTCTGCATGTCAGAATAGGCACAGGTACTTCTGTTCCTAACTGAGTCCAATCCCCTCAGTTAATAGACTGGAAGGAAAAACAAAAAGAGGAGAAATGACTTTCTAAAGATTGTACGCAGCTGATGGTGACGGATGATGAGAGGATGGAGACTCCTGATCCCTACTGGGCATTCATGAAATCCCATGGGGCACCCATTTAATCATCAAGAAGGGACCCCTTCTCAGGAATGATGTTCTGAGACTCTTGGAGCCAACTAAAAAGTCATGGTCTCTTCTACACCAGCTGCAAGGGCTGCCCCACTCTCAGACTATGCACAGCTGAGATTCCAGGACTAGTGATTGACAAGTGCCTCTGTCTGTCCCATTTTAGGAGGCAGGAGAGCAGGGTGGGTTTGGGATCAGGCAGATAGAAGCTATTGGTAGGCACTGAGTGAGTAGTCAACAAACGGAAGCAGCCACCACAACTAAAACAATGGATTAATATTTAACATTGTCATCACTTAGCTAAGGGATAAGTCTAAATACGGTCATAAAGAGAGATAGACAACTATGTTGGGGCTCCGAAAACAGTACCCCAAAATGAAGGCCTCAGAAGCCAAAGTTTTTCTCTGACCTCTCCTTACCTCCTGCCTCTCAGACCCATTCTCCCCCAAAGCTAGCCATAGAAACTAGAATCCCCTCTTCCCCAGGGCAGGTCACAAAAGCCAGAACCCCTTTTCCAAAAATCAGCCATAAAATCTAAAATCATTCTGTGAAAAAACTGGCCATAAAAAAATTATTTGGCCTGCCTTGCTTGACTGTAGGTCCTAAGATCCCCGTTCTAGACGGGGCCCTGTCCCATGCCCAGAAAGAAGCAACGCTGCTCAGAGAGGCCAGAAAGAATCTAAACACATGGACCTTGCTGGGTTCCCCCACTCAGTCCATTACCATCACATCATACCTGTTTTGTCCAATCATATTTCTACATGGTTGTCCATACTTTGTTGAACCTAAGCATAAAAATGGACAATTTCCCCTGTGTCTATGGGTCTTTACTCTGAAGGCTGCCATGTACACACATTAAGTAAATTTGTATGCCTTTTCTCCTATCAATCGATTTGCCTCATGTCAGCGATTTTTCAGTGAACCTTTGGGGGACCAAGGGGCTTTACTTGGTAGGAAGTCTACACAGTCCCACGACCACTTCCTGCTAGAAGCCTTCCATGATTACTTCAGTCTTCAGTGACCTTTTGTTCTGACCGTCTCCAGTACATACAGTCAGAACCAGTACCGTCCAATAGAACTTTCCAGAAGAATGGAAATATTTTATATCTATGCTGCTTAATATGGCCACCACTAGCCAGTGCAACGAAGGAACTCAACTTTTAATTTCATTTCATTTTAATGCAAATAACCGCATGTAACTAGGCTACCATAATGGACAGCATAGTTCTAGGCCATAAAATTCAGCATTTAATTATACTGTTTATTATTTTCTTTTATGCCTTTTTTAGTGCAATAACTCTTTTTTATATGTGTTTATAGTCTTGTTTATACTTTGACTTGCCCATGATAGCAAAAAAAACCATGTTTGTTTATACTCCATATGCAGAATTCTAAAGGCTGAATGGATTTCAGACACACCTGAATGTGTGTGCCATGGAACCCCCAAATCTCTTCGCCTCTGTCTTCTACGTCACCACTTCATAAACTTGCTCTGTGAATTCGACACCACACTGGATATGGGAGGTAGCCACTAACACATGCTAAGACTCATGCTTTGGAGTCAGAAAATTATGACCTTAAGTGAATTACTGAACCTCTCTGTGTTTCCATTTCTTTACTACCAAGCACCTATAATAACAGACTCTCCTTCCAGGAGTTGGTTGAAAAGACTAAGATAATTAGTTCATCTAAAAGACTTGATAAAACACTGGCACATAGCAGGTGCTCAGTAAAAGGTATTGGTGAGGGAGTAGCTGGTGAATGAGTGAGGGAAGAGAACTACTGAGCTTAACCTCTGGTGCAATCTGCTTTCTCCCTGAACAAACAGACATATTTGGGTCTCCCAGAGGGCTAACTCCTTCCCAGGAGGCCTCATGTGACTTCAGAGTTGACCCCTGACCCTCCCTTTTCTGATTACCTGCTAACATCTGACAACTTTCATTCTCAGTAAGGATTTGTTGCTGGCCCCTCACGAGCACCATGATGGAGGTTGCTGCAAAGCGGCTTTCTAGAGTAAGCATGAGGCTGGAAAGATTTATGAGGCTCTTAAGTTGAAATATCAATATTTATGCAAAATTCATACTTATTACTGATACCTGCTCTGGTGAAAGCTGTGAAAGCTAATGCCGCTCTACAAATAAATGCTTCTGAGAATCTATAAAAACCTCCTATTTTCTAGCAAAGGAGGAACAGAGGTGGAAAATACCTTCCCCTACGTGAGCACAGGTTGCACTTCCTCAATTCTTCTGCCCATGTGAAGACATTTAACCCAACCTTCCCAGCCTCCACACCCCACCCCCAACTGATTACACTAGGTTATACCCTCTCCCTGCTGTCTCTGAGACTTGAACCTTGCCATGCCCCATATGCTCAGGGAAACACCTAAATGGAATATGCATGATAATCACTTATACTAACTGAGAAGGGCATTTCAGATTCCTTATCTAATAACACTTCCTGGCAGGGAGGAGCACTGAGAAGGAGACAAGGCTGTGATACTGCTGCCATATACTGATTTCTGGCATTAGCATTAAAGACAAGCAAATCAACAAACTATATTTGGTGGAGAAAACTATTATTTAACCAAAAGCTTGTAAAAGTGCTTGTAAAAGTTGACTTAAAAACAAAGGCAATTTCAAATATCCATTCCTATTGCCTCCACAGATCACTGTAAATAACCCAGAAATTTTATAAATCAAAAAACTGCTTCTCTTTTACTCAGTAGTGGGTAAAAAATAAAAGAATAAAAAAAACTTTTTAGGCCACATGACTTTGTTGTTGTTCTCAGATCATGATGACTAACCCAACATCAAGGCTTTTCTGCTTGTCAACCCTACCTTAGACCTAAGTGGCTCTTCTATCTTCTTTTTAATTCAAGGTTGGGTTGCCTATAGAAATACCTTATATATGCAAAAAAAATTCTATAAAGTCTTTTTGGAGACCATATACCTATTGCAATTCTAGTACCAATGGTCAAAACTATGTCAATTTGAAGTTGTTTTAGAGTTAATGGACATTCTATGTTAAATTTCATCGACAGCAGTAAACCTAGGTAATTTGGAGAGGGGTTTTAATTTTAGAGGAACTAAACTTGGAAACTCTATTTTTTTTGGAAACACAAAGTAAATCTAAAATAATAAAGACTCGTTTGATTTCCTGAGAAATGGCATGGTGTAGAGGACAAACCATGGGGTTTAGCTAGAACCACATCTGAACCCCAGTTCACTCTCTCTGAGTTACATAACCTTGGTCAAATAACTTAGATCCAGGAAGTTCATTTCCTTCTCATTAAAATGGCAACAGTGAAGTTCCTGACCTTACAGGGTCTTGGGTCCACATGGCACCTCTACCAGTGCAAGTGTGAGAACCACAGAAAGCCTCACAAGGGCTCCTTCTCCCCACCATGCTCTATTATGGATAGATTCTGAGAGCAGGTCCCAAAGAATTCAGAAATACTTTAAGTAATGCCACCAGAATTGAATAAATGGATAATACCAAAAGGCACTGCTTTAAAGACAATGCTATGTGGATGTATAAGCTCTGGTTTAACTTGCTACAAATACAACGGGGACCGCTTAACCCTGGGGTACAAGATTGACAACAGCAGTGGCAGCAACGGCTACCAAATGTTGTATGCCTGCATTGTACACCACTAGGATAAATGTCTCATCTATATTAATTATGTATATTACTTCATTTATTAATACATTATTCTTCCCTAGGACCCAATGGGATACTATATATATATATATATATATTTTTTTTTTTTATATATGTTTTTTACTTTGCAGCTGAGGAGGTGAAGTCACAGAGATTAAGAACATTTCCAAAGGTCAAAAACTATGAATATAGGTGCTGGAATTTTTGTCCAGACCAGTAACTCTTAATGGAATTACTGAAGAAAAAAATATTTATGTTATAGTTCTTGATTCTTCTCACTTGTGATGCCTTCCAACAATGGGTAAGGGTCTTTTATGGCCCAGAGAGACGCAGGGGAATACACAGCATGATATAGTGAAAGGCAGTATGTCTCAATGGGGTCAGTTCACAGAAGGACACAACGAAGCCTGAAATTCACATTCTCAATAATGAGGTTGACATCAGTATGTCACAAGCCATAATTCTGAAGGGCTTACCGTACTCACAGCTATGACTATTTTGCTGGGTGGCAGTTAATAATTGAAAATTATTTTTCCCAAGTGTGAAAATATCCTTTGTTCACAAAGGCTCAAAATTGCCACAGAAAGGATCCTGCTATTCAAATTGAAATTTACACTTAGTATATCCCACTTTAATGAATCTCACTGAAGCCAAGCTTGCCTAGGGATGAGTTCAGGGATAAAGAGTAGGTAGGGAGCCATCCTAGTCCCCTGCTGGCTTGCAGTCTTGCTCCTGGTAGAAAGTGGGAAACAAAGGATGGCTTCTTATGCAAATCAAGATCAAGAAACCAGCTGGAGGAAGTGAGGAAGGAAGGATGGAGGCTTTTGTTTAGCGACAGTAGCTCTGTGCCCATATGGACTTACTTCTGCTCTTCAACACCAAAAAAGCCCAAACGGAGCTCTGCCGTTGCCCTTCCCCTCCCAACTTGATAGGCTGATGCCTGAGCCCTTCACTTTGTCTTTTAACCTGAGATGAGCTACAAAATTAATCAAACTGAACTTTAGCTTTTGACTGGGATGCAGAGAAAGAATTCAGCTGGGATCAGAGGAATATGCAGCCATCCCCACAATCTGGGAGGTGTTTGACCCACCCAAAAGAAACCACATTCAGCAACTTGCTAGGACTGCTTATCAAATGTTCACTCTTGCATTCACCTCTCACATTCTACTGGGGAAAGATGGGTGGTAAGAAAACAATTGAAAACATGATCATTTCGCATGGTGATTAATACTAAGCAGACAATAAAACAGTAATGTGCTAGAGAGTGCCGGAGTGTGGGTGAGATTAGGTGGTCTCAGGAGGCATTTCTGAGAAGCTGATATTTTTGCTGAGACATGAGTGATTCAAAGGTGCCAGCCATGCTGAGATTTGGAAGAAATTCTTGCACTTGCTGTTCCCTCTGCTATGAATGAGCCTGGATTCATTAAGGTCCAGGACATGGTCGTGTGACTGCAATACAATGAATGAGGAAAGAGGAATAAGGACTTCAGCCACAAAGGTAGTGTGGGGCGAAGTTGCCTACAATGGCACAAGCCAAGGAGAGAGGACTGGAGTCTATTTTAAGGAGAGGAGAAGACATTGGAGTATTTTAAACATAGTAATGATAAGATCTCATTTGAGTTTTGAAATAAAATAAACATTTAGTTGTTATGAGAGGAATAGATTTTAGGTTGGCAAGGGTGGAGGTAGAGAGTTAGGCTCTTGGAGTGACTCACATGGTTGTGGAGATGGGAAGGAGTGCTTTGAGTTAGAATGTGTTTTGGAGGTAGGAGCTGCAAAGACTGATTGATGGCCTGGATCTGAGGTTGAGAGAAAAGGAGAAACCATGCTCTCTTTAGCAACTAGCATGGCTGTGTGTCTTACTGCGGTTGGAAAAACTGGGCCAGGAACTGCTTCCAGTGGGGGGAATTGAAAGAGAGCTCTGGTTTGGCCACATTAAGTTTGATATATCTGTTAGCAAAGCAAGAGGAGATGAGCCCTGAGCAGACTGGTGGACACATATGTCTCTAACCAAGAAGAGAGGGAGGCCAGGGCTGGATGAAAATATTTGCAGATTTGGGAGTCATTGGCTGTAGGTGAGATTTAAAGTTGTTCTTTATCATTGTCATTAGAAGGAAAAGAAAGGAAATGGTAACAAGAGAGAGTGTTCGCATGGAAGAGCACAATTTGAGTGGTCTGTCAAGGTAATTGTCCAAGGCAAGAGCTCTCTAAGCTCTTTCCTTCCCAGTACTTTCCAACATAGCTGCTCACTGAAGATGAGGAGAAGCCCCATGGAAATGCGGCTCTGATAGAGCAGTGATCTTCCTGAGAAAATTCCCCTGCCTGTCCTCCCACCTGGCCCAGGAAGTGGGATGGTTGGGTCCACAGGCCAGCAGATACACCTCCCGCCTCTGGGTCATGCCTTCCTCTCCAAACACCATCTTCACCTCCGCCCCACAAACAGACAGACACCCAATGGGAACTGGTGAGGAAATGCCGAAGGACTCACCACTCGAAGTCCCAGTCGGCACAGACGCAGGGTTCTGAGACCACGGACCCCGAGTAGTCTCTGCCCAGGGCACACTGCGCTCCTGGCTTACGCTTCTTGAAGATTTTCCTTTCTCCCATGACGCAAGGCTCTCCCTTAGAGAGAAAGTCCACAGTGAGAGACAGAAAAACACAAAGGCGGTGAAATAAACCGGCCTCTCCACAAGAAGCATTATCCTTTTCATTCTCCTTCAGGCACTCTGCATAGCAGTCTCATTCCCAGTAATGCTCCAGACCCAGGAGTTTCATGAATAAAGATACTAATATTTTACTACTACCGAAAAGGAAGATTAAGGGAGGTTGGCCCACTCCCACCCCTCCACCCACCACAGCCAGAGATGTCTACGTGCTTCTGTTTCTTCTCCACCTCCATAGAGAATGCAAAGCCTCCAGGCAGCCTCACAGACCACCAGGCAATTGCCCAAATGGCCTCAGTAGCAATTCTAGTGGAAAGGAGCCCACACTGGCATGTTTTTCACATCATCTTCAGAGGAAAATTGAAGTGGACCCAAAATGTTCCTTCTCTATGATAAACAACCATGCCTAAGCCTTAATTTCTAGTCAAGGACAAAAAGAGTAGAAGAAGGTGGTATAAATTAACAGGACCCAATGGCGCTGGAGAGTGTCAAAGCCTGTCTATGCTGCACAGCAATAAATATCTGCCATCGCTAGACCCACCCACCCCACCCTCTCTTAGTAGCCCTGTCCCCAAGGTTCTGGGGCCCTTACTTCAGGCTGGTCTAAGAAATCCCCTATACTGGCAGGTAAGAGGAGCAAATCATCAGAGGCCCTTGTAGCTGTCTGGTGCTCATTTCTCAAAGACAGAGCCAAAATCCCAGGTTACCATCAGACCCTCTTGCCCAGGCAGCTCAGTGACCTCAATGAGTAGATAGGATCCCAGGGTGTGAAATAGCCCCAAAATATCACCCATCCCTGCTGGACCTGGATGTGTCCCACCCTTTCCCTAAATCCACACCCTTATCTTAAGGTGGCCCACCACCTTCCTCCCCCAACCAGGAAGGCTTAGGCAAGACCAAATGGGCTTGCATGAGCTCCTCTTCATAGAAGCCAGCACTCCCCAACCCTGGGGGTACCTGGTTGAGCAGGTGCCAGGTCTGGTAGTCCTCCTTGGTGCAGCGCCGGCTGAAGATAGACTTGTAGTCCACTTTCACCAACTGCCATTCAGAGCGGAGGCTGAAGTGGCCAAAAACTCTAAGTGTTTAGGGAAGGGATGGAAATGACAAGTGGAGAAGGCCCCACAGTCAGTTACTCATGTACAAAGACAGGGGACCAGATAGACAGTCAGCGCAGTCTGCACCCTAATTGTTCTTCCAAAGCGAGTCCACTGTTCACACGACTCAGTTAATTGGCATGTCATTCACAGCGGGTTTAAAATCAACCAATTATTTTTATTGCAAAAGGAAACATTTAACACCCAACAGTCCCAAATCCACCACCCATGTAAAACCATTGTTCATATGTTGACACGCCTTTCCATTTCTCCTTAATGCAAGCACTGGCATTTCACCCACACATGTCCACTGGCAGGGACTCAGTTTCCTCATCCATAAAGTGGATTGTGTATATGTGTGTTGGATGAGCAGATTAGCTAATCTAAAGTATGATCCTGCCAGTTGCAAAATCTTTATTGAATTTAAGTGTTTTAGTTGAAATTCCTACTGTTTAATTCAAATGAATACCTAATCTCCTTCTCCCTCCCTAAAATATCACAGCAGTCTCATAGAAGGAACTCATATTTATGTGTAGTAAAGAAGCACGCAATCTGCATGACTTAGATAATCAATACTGACCTTTTCAAAGTCCCAGCAGTTGATAGCCCTATAAATATGAATGATCAATTGCTTCTAGAAAAATAGAAAAAAAAAAAAAAAAGACTGATCATCCATACTTCACTCGAGCTACATGTCTTGCAATTACAATGCAAGACATCTATCACAGTGGTGTATAAAGGGAGACCAACCATGGTGTGAACTTAAAACAACAGAAGTCTTTCAAGAAATTGGATGGCTTCCATTTCAGCAAGACTTAATCAAACTGGCAGCCCTGGATTTTCTTCTGCCCAAGTTCAGGTACTCTTCTAGAGACATCTAAGAAACTAACTCTCCTCACAGGACATTTCCTTCTGCCATCTGAAAGAAAAGCATGCTTATGTGAGGAGGAGGGACTGAAAAAATTTGTTTTGTAGATCATGCAACTTAAAAGTTCTAGCTCTGATTTCATTTCATACAGAGGTCACATCAGTCTATTTTAAATCTCTAACAAAACAGCTATCTCTTATCAAAAATTTTCACTTGTTTGAAGACAGGAGAGTTAAGTTGATAAACTCATCAAGACAAAAAAAACAAAAACAAATACAAAAACAAAAACAGTGAGAGAAGACCTTGACAAATATCTTCTCCTATCTCTATGCAGCCTATCAGTTCCCAGATTCCAATGTCACTTCCTCCAGTAAGTCTTCCCTGATTGGATTATTCCAAGTAGCAGGATGTTCGTGATGCTAAACCAAACACTTTGGCCTATTCTAAATAGTTTATAGATATTTCATGGATCACAAAATGCATCAGGTCAGATTAAACCCATTCCTTACTATGAAAAAATTACTGGGCAGACAGAAGAGGGAAATATGAGACACATGATTTACCTGGATATAAGCAAGGCATTGATGGGGCTGGCCATAGCAGACTTGAAGAGAAGATGAAAAAATAGCTAGGAGCTAGTAAATTATGTGGCTGAAGAGTACCTAATTAAGGCATTAAAATCAACCAGGAGGGAGGTGTGAGCACTCAGCTGCAAGGTTCTGTTATCTGCTCTTTCTTGTTCATCATTTTTATTAATTACTTGAAGACATGAAAATAATGGTCATCAATGGAAACTTAATTTTCTGATGACAAAATACTGGAGGGAACAGTCAATATGCTCAGTAGCAGAATCAGGACCCAACAAGGTCTTGACAGATTGAAGAGATAGGCTGAATTTAATAAGATATGACATAACAGAGACAAATGTCAGATCCTCCTCCTGGTAATTACATAAGTATTGGATTAAAGAAATGGGACTTGGTACTGCTCAGGTTAAATAATAATAGTAGTGGCTGTAGCAGCAGCTTAAGAGTTTCCATATACAATAGGATCAATATGAGTGAACACTTTAGAGAGATATAAATTTAAGGTGATCTTGAAATGCATTAACAGAATTATTTAGGACAAAAGAGGCAATATCTGGTCTTTTATCCATTAATGAGATCACCAAGGACAATTGTGGTTAGTTTTGGAAGTTACCATTCAAGAAGGATATAAACTAAGTATCTCAATCTACAGGACATGTTTGAGCTTTGGTGGTGGCAGTGGAGTTTAAATCTTCTTAAATTTTAAATAAAAATGTGTGTTTATTGGCACATATGTATTTATCTATAGATATATAACATATATTTTATCAGATTATTCAAAACAGTTCCCAGTTCCCAAAAGACTATTCCCTGGAACTGTGAAGGTAGCCTTATTTGAAAAAAGGGTCTTTGCAGATGTAAGTCAGTCAAGGATCTCAAGATGAGATCTTCCTGGATTGTCAGAGGGGCCCTAAATGCAAAGACAAGTACAGTTATAAGAGATACGCAAAGATGAGGGGCATGGCAAGGGAAATGCCATGTGAAGACAGAGGCAAAAACTAGAGTTACGCAGCCACAGACCAAAGTACACCTGGAACTACTGGTAGATGGATGAAGCAAAGAACAAATTCTCCCCTCAAGCCCCAAAGGAGCACAGCCCTGCTGACATTTTGATTTTGGATCCTGAACTCCAGAACTATGAAAGAAGAAATGTCTGTTCTGTGAAGCCATCCAATTTGTGGTAACTTGTGACAACAGCCAAAGGAAACTAATACAGATGACAATCTGATTTAAGACCAAGTTTCACCTATCTATTCAAAAAGTGGTGTAAGAACTATGGCTAGTTACCCTGGACATGACTTAGGAAAGGGCAGGGAGGGAAGAATAACAAGTGGGCATTCTAGGGAGATGTCTTGAATGTAAAATATAACCAAATATAGAAGTGTGAAAGTTTACAAAGTGGGAGAGAGCTTTCTAACAAGGGATGCAAGTAAGTGTGGAACATCAAGCTCAGGCTTGATCATTTCCCACTGAACAGGATGCGACCACAATCCATGTGCACAGCCTCTAAGGATGTCCATGTTGCTGGTCCTCCCAACTCTTTGAGGTATCCACTTCTGATCTCAGAGTGCTTATTTGGGGACTGAACACAAGAATAGGTGCTCAATCAGAACTTATGGATTATTTCAGATTCTCTTTTGCCATCTTGGCAAGTACATTCCTTTCATCTACATTTCTTTGGCTTCTTACCCAGACTTCTTTACATTGTGTTTTACAGGTCCTTCTCCAAACTCTAAATCCATACACTCATATTTTCACTCCAGACTGTGCTAGTCTGCTCTCCCATGAGGTCACTTTCACATGCCAGATGCAAAATTTTTATCACTTAAACCCTATTCCTATTATGAGCTTTGCTCTTCTTTACTGGCCCCAAATAAGACCAGTAGGGTAAAACCTCTTAGCAACTTTCAGACATAACATACTCCCATCTTTCCATCCATTCTCAGTTCTAGGAAGAATAAAGTTCACTGTGGGCATGGGCCCCCTACTCCTGTGGGGCACATGGTCACTCTTTTACATAGATCTGGCTTCCCTAATTCTATTCACTATCACATTCTTTCGTTGCTCTTCTTAATTAGAGCTTATGAAAGCTGAAGAAATGGCAGAAATATAGGAAAACAAGCTGGAGATAAAATAAAGACTAATTCATATTAAAGTACTTCTATTCCTTTTTCATAAATACCCATGGAACAGATGTTAGAATTCACAATGAGATCTGTGGAAGTGAGAATCCAACAGAGAAATCAAAGTGACCATCATAACAAACCATGTTCATAAAAGTGACCATCATAACAAACCATGTTCATTGCTTTGGGGTGATAAACACTGAGAAGGTCCACTTGATTATGAACTGGGAAAAGAGAAAGCCCAGACTGCTTCTAATTAATAACAACTACAATAATAATATGAAGTTCCCAGATAAAAGTTTCTCATCTGTTGCAAATAATCCTCTAAAGTTAAGGAGCCTATTACCAATCAAAGTAGGTGCAGCATACTCCTTATACTTGTAGTATCTTTTTTTGGGGAAAAAAGTGGTTCATATAGTAATTGAAGATAAAAACTCAAGACATGGGTAAGGTGCAGGACGCAAAGGCATGGAGCATCTTTGAAAGGATAATATGATTCCCAAATCAGGTGCTACTTGTTTCAGAGAGTCCTCTGTGGTTCTTCTGGAAATACTGAGTTCTCTTTCTGCAGAAGCTCAAATGGTCCTGTTGTTATTTCTAGACCAGAAGTTCTCCAATATCTACAACAGAATCACCTAGCAGACTTGTGAAACATAGATAGCCCTCAGGGCTTCTTATTAGTATATCTGGGGTGCCTAAGTATTCATATGTCTAGTGAAGGTCCAGCTGATGCTTATGTTTTTGGCCTCAGGATCGTACGTTAAGAATCACTGCTCTAAATTACCTATCCAGAATTTCTTAATTTCCTTCTATCTTTGGTCAAATTTTTGTCATCCAATTAGAAATCTCCCTAGGGCTGGGAATACTTTTTATACTTCTTTGTATCCTACAGAAACTATCAACAGTAGTTGCTTGACAAAGAATGGCTAATTGATCACTGAGTACCAATGGAAGAAACAAGGCTATTCTTAGAGGGTAAAGTTCGATTCTCAAGTCTTTGGCAAAGAGAAACTAATTACTAGCATGGCAAAATCCACTGTTATTAACAGTCCCACTTCCTTGCAATTTCCAAGGTAAACTACTTTGGCCTCTTTCTACAGAAATGCATTCCTAGTGCCCTTTGTTAATTTAAAGTATATTCTCATCAACATAATCAAAACTCCAGCAGTGAGATAATGTGGGTGAAAATATTGAAAGACAACAAATGTTCATTACCATCATCATCATTCTTATCACTAGAACCTCTGCAGATTCACCCAAGGAGTTTTTCATCAAGGATTTCTAATAGGCTTGGCTCAAAATCTGCCTCCTATGCCCTTGTTTTAAAGATGGGGTCTTGCTGTCACCCAGGCTAGAATGCAGTGGTGTTATCATAGCTCACCATAACCTCAAACTCCTGG